TGCGTGTTGACGATCCTGAATTGTGCCCGAACGCCGTCCCTGGGATGTCACAGCGAATCAACATAATTGTTGCGCCCGCGTAATCCTGAATCCTTGCAACACACAAGTTATGGTGCGTGGGTGATGGGAACCCGTGAAACTTTGGCAACGGTTGTAAACGAATGCACGCGGCGCTAAAGCGAGAGCCACAATTTGAAAAGGACCCGCCCTCTATCCGTGAAGTTCTTGCAAATGTTTCAAACGAGGTGCGCGGCGCTAGGGCGAGAGGCACATTTTGAAAACCACCCGCCCTCAATATGGAAAACGGTTGCACAGTATTAATGCGAGTGCTCGTGGCGCTAAAGCGAGAGCCACATAAAAAAACGGCCCGCCCTCAACCCGTGAAATGTTTGCAAAATGTATAAATCGAATGTTCGCCGCGCGAAGGCGAGAGCTACATTTTGAAGACGAGCCGCCCCCAACCCGTGAAACTCTTGCACATGATTAAAACGAATGTGCGCAGCGCTAAAGCGAGAGCCACATGTTGAAAACCACCCGCCCTCAACCCGTCAAACGGTTGCAAATGGTTAAAACGAATCTGCGCCGCGCTCATGCGAGAGCAACAGTTTGAAAACCACCCGCCCCCATATGTGAAACGGTTGCCAATGTTTAAGCCCAAGCGTCGTAATTGGTGAGGATGTCTCAGGCGAAACGCCCGGCCCGCCCTAAACATTGACTCGGTGTGCGACAGGGAGGAATTATTCATAAGGAAAAGGAATGGAGGAGGACCAGTGTAAACCCAAGAGTCATCAACGATGTTGGAAGACACCCTCCCTCCAAGATCCCTCTTCATAGGCCCCTACAACGATTCATTTCCGTTGGGGGAAGACAACCGTTTGAAGACCTTGAAGCATGCCGAAACATTGTTTTCAGGATTCCAACGCCACGGATCAACCTGATTGTTGCGTGTTGACGATCTTCAATTGTGGCAGAACGCCATTCCTGGGACTTCAGCGCCTCGAATTAACGTACTTGTTGCACCCTCACAGTCTTGAATCTTTCCCAAACACCATGACTAGCACGTTGACCGTGGGAATCCGTGGAATTCTTGCAATTGCTTGAAACAGGAATGCGCGCGGCGCTAAGGAGAGAGTCACATTTTGAAAACGAGCCGCCCTCAATACGTGAAACTTCTGCAAATACTGAAACGAATGTGCGCGGCGCTAAAGGCAAGAACCACATGTTGGAAATCACCCGCCCTCAATCCGTGAAGTTCTTGCAAGTTTTAGCCCGAATGTGCGCGGCGCTGAGGCGAGAGCCACATTTTGAAAACGACCCGCCCTCGATCCGTGAAGCGATTGCCAATGTTTAAGCCCCAGCGTCATACATGGCGAGGACGTCTCAGGCGAAATGCCCGGCCCGCCCTTTCGACTGGCTTCGGGTTGCGACAGGGAGGAATTATTTATAAAGGAAAGGAATGGAGGAGGAAGAGGAGGAGGAGGAGGGCAAGCAGGAAGGCCAGAGGCCTCATGATGCCTCTCAGAGTCTCTTCGGATGTCGGTCGAGATCTTTGTGGAATCCTTTTGGGGTGTCATGGAGTTTTCTTGGCAGTCCTTGGGGCCTCTTGGGGGTCTCTTGGGAGCCCCTTGGAGGCATCTTGGAAGCGTCTTGGGAGCCTCTTGGGGCTTTCTAGGGGAGCCATCTTGGGGCACCCTTGGGGGCCTCGTGGGACATCCTGGGGCCATCTTGGAGGAGATAGATCAATGGACGGGCCGTACTAAATTACCCTCCCCACACTCCATGAGGCTAAAGTGTGGCCAATGATGTTGGCCTTTCGCCGAGGACTCTTGGGGCGTTTTGGGGGCGCCTGGGGCGGCCTCTTGGAACCTCTTGGGTGTCTCTCGGGAGCCTGTTGGGGGCATCTCGGGGGCCATAATGGGGCCATTTTGGAGGAGATCGGTCGAAGGAGAGGGGCTCCTCGTTTAGCCCCCCACCCAGAAGGCCTACAGTGGCCAAAACCTTTTAGTAAAATAAATGATGCTGGTCTTTCGCCGAAGCTTCTCGGTTCTTGGGTTTCTTGGGAGTTTTTTGGGGGCATCTTGGGGGCATCTTGGGGGCCTCTTGGGGCCATCTTGAGGCACCCTTGGAAGCCTCGGGGGCCATCTTGGGGGCATCTGCGAGGAGATCGATCAAAAGCAAGCCATACTAAATTAGGCCATCAATGATTTAGGCTTTCTCGCCGAGGCCATTGTGGACGCCCTAACTGCTCGCGACGCCCCCTCCAAAATCAGGGGTATGGGCGTAGCTGGAGGGGTCAAGACACCCTCCTAGATAGCAAGCCGTCTAGCTCACTCCCACCCGCCCTCCCGACATATAAGTAACATCAGGGCCTCAGCATGTTCAGCGGTCGTCTTTGGATGGGCAGCTATTGGGAACCAAAACCAACCCCATGTGCGCGACGCTGGGGCGAGGTGCGCAAATCGTGACAGGCACGCAACGCGCTCCAGGCACCCCTGGGGCCCCAGCGTGCCAGGTACGCCTGGAGCGCCAGATGCGCCACGTGCTCCACATACGCCAGGTGTGCCGCATACTCCAGCTGGGCCAGGTGCGCCACGTTCGGCTCACGTGCAGAGTGTGCCAGGTGCGCCTGCGCACGTGACAGTACATATCGGTAAACATGTCGGCCCCCACCATCTCTGTTGACATCCAATGCCCATCATTGTGTCTGGTGGGCATGCGCACAGCAGGCCATGCGCCACCACCCCTGCCATCCCCTGTCAAAACCCGCTCGACGGTGATCGCGGGGTGGCCGCGCACGATCCAGATTTTGCCGCGAGGTGCATGTTGTATTGTTGTTTTTTGGTTGGAGTGGTGGTGCTGACACCCCCACCCTCCCTATCAAAAAACAACAAGACGACGTGCTCGCGGGCCTCCCGGACATGACTCAAGACTCTGCCCAGAGTGTATGTTGTATTGTTGGGTTGACAGGGGGGAGGATCGGGCTGGTTGCGCGTGCTCCAAATTTGGAGACAGTGTTTTGTTGTATTGTTGTTTGGCAGGGATGGTTGGGATGGATCATGAGGTCGGCATTGTTCCCGGTAGGCTGCCA